CGACAAAAATTACGCAAATTCACCAACATAAATCACGGATCCGTAGAGGATCCGTGCGTGCATAAATTAACAGGTGAAATCCAACAGAGCCGCTCATTGTGTGACATCACGACAGAAACCAAGGCATCGATAAGGGATTCCCTGGTTCTGAAGCTTCTCATTGGTTAGAAACGGTCACATGATGTACTACGACATTATTTTCCAATTTTCTATAATCAATACATCAGATTTATCACCTCCGTACGTACCGCGTTATCGGCACTATTCTCATCGCATACTCGTAAGCTTTTCCGTGATTCTGTGCCAAAGTGAAGTCTTTTGGTGAGTGCGGACTCAGAGTCATTTATGGATGGAAAAATAAGTAAAATTTCACGAATGAAAAAGGTTTAGTAATGGACGAACACGCAACAAAAATGTGTAGTTTTAGGATACCTCGTGCGCTCTTGCATGCGCGGTGCTAGCCCGTAGTTCAGCGGTTGTTTATTGTGCATGTTGTATACGCTGGAAATGTTCACATGAGCTACACGCCTGAAAACCGTGTTTCTTCGTTCATGAGACCGCAACATTTTCGCGCCACTCGTGCACCGGGCGGATGTTAACAGGTCAAATTGCCGGATCAGATCCACCTTTTGCGTTCCCATCTGATCGTGATCCGGCAATTGCCGGATCTGATCCACCAATTGGGGGATCTGTATCCTGGTCCAGAGGTGGATCAGAAAAGGTGGATCTGATCCTGATCCACCTTATAACGGTTAGCGTTCCCACTACACACAATTGCCGGATCTGATCCACCAATTGGGGGATCTGATCCGGCAATTTGGCAAAAGGTGGATCAGATCCCCCAATTGGTGGATCAAGTGGGAACGGGGTCTAAGTTGTTCGGCTTATTTTCTGAAACGCAACAACCGTGACGTTTTTGCTTCATGGATGTACACAATTACGCTGTACAGTATTCCTAAAAACTATCAAAGCGCATAAAAACAACTTAGATTAAATTTGCTGACATTATAAACTTGAAGCTTGTATTTAAATGTTACTTTTCTCATTGAACGCAGCACCAAACGCAGCCATATCCGGAATACAAGGCCAAGAATATGACAACATTAACGATCCTGCCTACCGTAGAGACGTTTTCCTACAATGGAAGGTACGTAATCTTGCCAAAAATCATCATACAATATAATGTGATTAACTTGTTCTTAATAGCTGCAACTGATCTGGTGGTGTCTAAATCTGTTTTGCGAGTTATTTGTGGTTCCGAGAAGAACCAGTTAACAGACTCAAAGTTTTGAATTATAAGATGCTCTGTCAATCGACAATCTTGTGACGACATAAACCACTCTTTTATTTCTATTTCAGGAACTCTCACATGCAAATAGACGGGGGAAAATCCTGGGCTATGAGGTCGAGTTGCGTCAGATGTTACCTAATGGTTCCTCCAGTGTTGTCAGAACAGTCAGGGCCAATGGAACCATGGTTCTAATAGAAAGTAAGTTCATTCTTCAAATTGTGGTTCATATTTCGTCCAATCTGCTTTTCCAATATTTCATCGTAAAATGTTGTTGCCGATGTGAAATGCACTATGAAGCAAAGTTTCATTTCAACTTTTGGATAAGCAACTATCTAACTGGACAAATGTAATGCTATCTTAAGCCTGTAGACGAGGACTATCGGAATGCCGTGGAGAACATGGAATGATTTTTTTTCTCAATAATTTGCAACTTTATCATACCTTTTTATTTCAGATTTGGAAAAATTCAAGGAGTTCTATGTCGATTTAGCAGCGTTTAACTCGGCTGGGCGGGGGCCAACAGGGAGTTATTTTCTGGCCGATAAAACATCAGGTAAATTTATGACGAATCTAGATTAAAAAGCTGTGTTACAATAATGATTTTCTTAAAGCTACGGTCTCTGAATTTTGGCTCTTTATGAAAATGATTATGAGAAGAACTAATTTCATTCAGAAATGTATACTATAATCTCAACTACAAGATATTCTGTTTTAGTCATTAGAATTCTTACCTTTCATTCTACCGAACAGGAATTGGCCAGTTTCCTCTTCAACTATACGTGTTTGACATTAGCAGGTGTAGGTCGAAGACCTGACCCTTTTGTACAAAGAAAACAACACAGTCACGTACCAAACAAAGTTACAGACAAGATGAGAAGTGGTTTACAAATTCAAACGGGTTTTCTATTGCCCCCCCCCCCCATCAAATTGATGATTTCGACTGGTCTGCAAAGCAAGCGAGCTAATAATCACATGAGTTTGGTATACTTATAAGTGCTTTGACATTTTTTGCATTTTTCTAACAGAACCTGGACCACCGGAAAATGTACGCGTCCAAAACATCTCGGAAACGTCTGCCTTGGTTACTTGGCAAAGGCCGACCAGGCCCAATGGGTACATTGAAGGTTATCATTTGGAATGGAACAAGGGAGCAGTGGCAGAAACAACAAGGTATGTAGACCTTTAATTGGACTAATGGGGCCCCATGCTAACGCGCAGGTTGCGCACGTTTTTAATTTGGGGCGCGAGTGCCATTTCCAGTTGGTCGGTGCGCGCGTACCACCTGCGCACGAGCGTGACACCTCTACCTGCGCGTGAAATTGATGGCGCCCAATTAATGGTTTTCTAATTTGGGTTGTGGATATTTTGTTTACATTTGTAAATGGAGGGTTTAGCATTTTCCTGTGCAATTTCTTCTTCAATTCTTAAAAGATTCTTTTTCCCCTCTGTGCAGCAATTTCATCGAATTAAATGGTACCCAGACGTCGTACACGATCAAGGGACTGGAGGCTAATAGACTCTATCAGTTCCGGGTCAAAGCCAAAAACTCTCGAGGCTACAGTGGTTGGTCAAACGCCCCCATACAACACATGGGAAGCGGGTCCCGCATGGAGTTACTTCGTACACTCATTACAGTGCTGCACAATCTACTTATGGATATGGGCGATGAGGGGGAGGCAGGGAACCAGATCAAGTTGGATACACTTTCATCATTCTTGTGATTATCAAGACAACAGGTTTCTCCCCTTCCTTATAATTGGCGAGGAGAATATAAATTCGTATATTTATTGACTTGACGAGTCGCTGATCACAGTGACCTATGAGGAAAGCGCTAAGCTTAGCCCCGCATTTCCTGGTCGTAAGCTCGAGATAAAAATAAAACCAACACACGATGTGGTGGAAAATTGAAAGTACCAATTATCTAAAACAATCTCTTTAAAGTTTCATCAAATTAAAATATGGTTCCGAACTTATGTTTAAGTTAAAACAACATTCGAAATCTCTGACCGAATGTCACTTTGTTGTCATCACAAGGGACTCAACATGACTGGCTGCAAGGTTTACCTGGACTGAATTGGAGACAGTAACTCCGGGAAAACTAAATACGTGTTATTGCTGAACAAAATGATATATTCTTTTAAACACGGAAGTATTATTAGGTTTATTTTTGATTGGCCTCCATTTACTGTTACTTAATTTCTGTTTTGAGCAGACAACAACGCAACATATTGGTTCGTTTTTAGTGTAAAAAAACTATTAAATATTATTCGTCGCAAAATACAGAGTAAGCTGCAGGAAAGAACGGGCACTCCCGGTTTGAAAGATTCAGGAATATTGTCATTTTGTTAAGAATTAATTTTGAGATGTTGCTCTAGTTCAAGAATGTCTGTAACCCATAATTAACAAGCAGGGTGCAGTGCCAGGGCGTATTTCTTTACATTTGTTGTTGCTACTCTGATGAAATATTACTCTGGGAGTATTGCTCTGTAATTATGTGATTATAATCATGTATATAATTATTGAAGAAAACAAAAGTAATTCTGATCATTTACATATAACATATAATATAGCCATTATTAAAGTGTACAGCTATCATGCATGGACAAAACGGTATCTGGTCCTGATAAAGGTTTTGCAGGGAATTTTATTTTTTTCGGTTATGGCTGCAAAGTTAATTTAAGATTTTCGTCAAATTGTTTCGGCGTTACCTCTTATATTATCAGATTTCTAATTTATATGTGTATATAAAATCGTATTTCGTATTTGTACAGCCATCTTGGAAACACGACTGAAAGAAAATATTATTTTCCCCAACTCATATATACCTCATTCAAATTGTACGCGCTTTTTGTCTTTTAATTGTAAATAAAATGCTAAAATATCAGAACTGGAGCTTGATTTAAGCGGAATTATAATACACTGTCTGTGACTGTATAATAATGGTGGAGTTGGAAAAATGAAAATAAAAGTAGCCTACTTTATCTTTCATATAAACTGACGAACTTCTGTAGTCCATCTCCCAAACTGTGGTCACCCTTTGCAAAATTGAGGGCGCTCTTTGAATGCGTGATCATGGTTTTCACTCAGTAACCAGTGCAGCCGGCAAAATCAAAATTGGATTGGGCCTCTATTCGTATTTTTATTTTAATAAAAAACAAGCAATTCCGTATTTTAAAAAAAGGAAAACAAAAATAGGGGAAAAACAATTATGTAACCACTGCATGATGAGCGCATGCGCATGAATACAAATTCGTTTGTGATATGCATATTCAAATCACCCTAGTCAATAGCAGTTTGCAGCGCCAATAAATTAATGAATTGGTTGTAATGTTTGAAGGCGTTTTAAGAAATATTAATAATATGAAAAAACATAGAAGAGAAAATAAACTGCTTTTTTGGAAAAAACAATATGCATACGGTTTGGTAAAAGTCAGCAAGTTATTCGCCTACCTTTTTTGCCGTTTGGTGCGGAGGAATTGTCTTCAATATGAATACAGCAAAATGCTTAAAAAGTTTTAGGTGTTTAATTAAAAAGCTCCCCAAACAAACGATTTTTCTGACGGAATTTTGAGATTCATAATAAAAAGTTAATAAATTGTTAAATTCCCAGGTTAGATTTTACAGTGGCCCCATACTCCCTTCCTATTCATTATTGTTTTCCTCCGAGTACCAGCGAACCATTGACGTGGAGCAGATTTGATCACATGACATCTCAGCACCGCCATATTGTTCATGTACAAGAAATTTTCGTGTGCAAACCAATGGCGATGAGACTGTAACGTTGCAGGTATGGACACTTGTTTCAGTTGAAATTTATTCGCTGATTCGCCCACTTCCTCGGCCAAAATACAGAATTTCTTGACTTCTTAGAGATAGCTGGCCTCCAGATTGCCAAGTCGTCATGGCTCTGAAGAAGGTGAAGGGGAGTTTGGAGCGCGTTTTCGACAAGAATTTGCAGGATTTGGTGAGAGGCATCCGCAACAACAAAGATAGCGAGGTGGGTGGATCAGAATTGCTAGGCCCAATTTAATGCTCGAAACATGTAAAGGGTTTGTCCAAGGTACGAGTTGCCCAAGGTACGAGATGACCTGTTACCTTGGCTCTTGCCATGTAAAGTTCAGTTCATCTGTAAGCATTATATGCTTCTTTCTTTTTAGTTTGACTCTAAGTCTAACTGTTCAAAATATCGAGCTAGTAATTCCCCCCCCCCAAAAAAAGTCAAGCCTAGCTACTCACATTAGCGTTAAACCTATCTGAGAAACAAGGTAAGATGACAATATATGTTTGTGGAGTGATGAAGGAATACTTCATTCTTATTCTTTTCCCCTTTTTGGTTTCAAATGATTAAATTTTTGTTTGAATTGAGATGCTTTGTTTTTCGTACGTAGTGCACAGCAGCCATAAGTAACGCGATTTTCAATTGCTTCTCCAGGACCAGGGCAGGGATCCTGGTTCGAAAACATTGCTGCAAAGCTCCATTTTAAAAGAATGTTTTTGAAATAGTTTTCTTTAATTTCATGTTTTAATCAATTCGTTCTTGTTATTTTAAATAGATTTTATTTTCTTCTTCGTAATCGGTGTCTTTGGTGGGAATATTTTTGTAAGGCTAAAAAAGGAAAGAATGTTGCAACCTGACGCTACTTCAGCAGTTGTGTACAAAGTCTATGGAGCGTCAAGAACATTTTCTAAGTATTTCCTAACAAAATTAGAAATGTTTCTCAGTCCGAGATTCATGTCTTATCATTTTTGCAACTACTGACCTTCATTGAGATGATATTTATGAAGAAAAAAGCAACGTCAGCAGCGTCATTCAAACATTCGGTTGAATGATAGTCTGGCTGCAACAGCCAAAGATCTTGATGTTGAATACTAGTAGGTCAGGGAGCCAGATGGTTCCGTTATGAAAGCAGTTGCAAATCACGTTACAGCTGCCATAACAATAGCCAGTGCCTTTATTTTTTATCTGAATTTGATTCATGTTTATCAGGTCGATGAATATAAATTCTGTCATTGTCTGTGGCTACTTAAGTTTAATCATGCTTACCAAAACCAAAAATAACATTAAACTGGAAATAGAGTTATGTTTTTATTACAAGGATATTCTTTGAAATCACGATGATACCATAAACACTAAAATAATATTTTAGGTGGCATTCTGTACCAGGCTATGTTAAAAATAAATCTATCTTCTTTTTTTTACTTTACAGGCCAAGTACATAGCATCATGCATAGATGACATCAAACAAGAGTTGAGACAAGAGAATATTGCAGTCAAAGCCAATGCAGTCGCTAAGCTCTACTACGTAAGTAGTCCGAACATTTGGGACTCTCAATACTGTGTATGAGAGTCCCAAAACTTATGGTATTGAAAACATGCAACACAAGAAAATAGACTGCTCCTTCAACTTTGTCGGAAGAAACATCTGGTACACGTCTTATCTCTCCATGGTCTGCTTCAAAAATTGAATTCAGACTTCAGGCTTGGCTGGTAAAATACTGAGGAGCTTGTCTTGGCCTCATGAAAATCTAGGAGAATTTTGTGGTGTAAAGAGTGAGTAAAGCTGGCCTGAATTTGTTTTGCATGTTTTTTTCTGCACTCAAGGTCCCAGTCTGCTATGTGAGTTTTTATAGGAAATTCTCTCTACTAAGTACAATTTTTTTCAGTTCGTATCCATTATGAATCAGTCAAGCAAACAACTTAAAAGAACACAGCACCGATTTGCTGCAAGTTGCATTATTCAGTCTGTTGTGTGTTCACTAAAATAACTTCACTCCTTGTGTGCTATTTTTTTCTCATCTGGATAAGAAACAGGAGTTAGTATGATGTTGGTTGGAATTTTAAATCACTCTAAACAATGCCAGTGTTTGTGCAACAGACACAAGCAGATATACAAATACAAACAAAATTGATAAATATGTATGTTGTTTGTACCTGTAAAAAAATAGGTTTCCTTTTACAAATATACCTGCGGAGACGTTTTTTTCAGTGGTTGAGTTAAATTAGTGGTATTTAATTCATAAAGAGTTTTTAGAGAAACATACATATTATTGGCACCAGTACATATCTGAAAATATCTTTTAGTTAAACAAGTTAATTTGCATATTTAATTTGCATACTGTTTGCCAGTTGACTGATCTGGCATATGTTGTAGGCTTTACGCAGTCCTATGCATACATGTAATTTATAAGTAAATAGGCCTATACCATGATTCAAATATTGTCATGCCATGAGCCTGTACTATATCATGCTACATAATGTATGAATGCCTTGCCGTAAGGTCCTTATTTAAATATATTGAATTTGTAGTTTTATCCCATTAAATAATTTGCATTAACCCTTACTCTCTGAGGGTAGTTTACTGCATGTCAGTTGGTTATGCCAATGCCCTCCAGCTGCAGTTATTTGGCAGATAACAAGTCTTAACAGTGAAGGCTCCAATTGGCAGGAGTTGGAGGCCCTGGAGGGTGCCTGATACTGACCAGCTGGGGGCACTCACTTTGTTATCAGAGGACTCTCATTGTTCTCTGTGGCATGTATTGGAGTGCCTGTCCAGTTACCCTTGAAATGACATGGCAGATATTGGAGGGCCATGCAAAAAACATAGGAGATTTTCTTGAGGCACAATTGGCATGCATTGGAGGGTCAAGTAGGGTAAGGGTTAAGGAGTGCATACATGTACATATCTACATGTATATGTACCTTTAATTGAGTGTGTGCTAATGGTTGATGGTGATGCATAAAATGGTTCATAACTGGTAGCGAAAACACTCAATGTGCATGTTTTCTGTCATCAATTTCTTCTAGTGGGTATATATCATAACCTTGCTTTAAACAAACAACTTCAACATCTATTTTGCGTTGGATTTTGTTAATCTGACCACTAAACCAAAAATGTTTTGTTGTAGCTGTTGGATATTTCTGGATTCATCTGGATATTTTTTTAATGTATGTATTCGGAGGGCCAGAATATATATCTCCACACAAACATGGTAGGCTTGATACACATAGTACAAGTAAGGGTGTCAGTTCATGTGTTGTCATTGAAATACGTGTAGGTAGTTACAATGTACATGTACATTGTGAATGTGTAGTACACCCACACAAACAGGCATGACGGGCAGGTGCATGTGACATGCAACACTCACAGCTACATGTCAATGTATGTGCTGCTGTATAAGGTCTGTCTCCATGAATTGGGAGCAAAGGTGGAGTAGTTTGAGAAAGCAGAATTCTGCATTAGGGAAACTGCAGACATTAGAACTTGAATGAACCTTATAGTCATAAAGAGGAGGACAAAAAGTCCATTTCAAACATCAAGCCACTATGAATTACCTGTAAAGGCTTTTTCAAAATAAAAGTCGTCCAAATAAAAAATAATGCAGAAAGTAACTGACTATGCAAAGATATTTTCTGAATGACCAAGTCTAATTGATTGTCGTTGCAATTGTGAAATACCAGATTGATTGCATAACTGATGCGTTCACATTCTTGTTTTCTATCGTCCTGCTTCTTCCACAGTTGGAAATGCTTGGCTATGACATCAGCTGGGCGGCTTTCAACATTATTGAGGTGATGAGCTCGTCTAAGTTTACTTTCAAACGTATCGGCTACTTGGCTGCATCTCAGAGCTTCCATGAAGGAACGGATGTGCTCATGCTCACTACAAACATGATCAGAAAGGTTAGTAGACGAATAAGTACAAGCAAAATTGGACATGTGTTAACAACCAGATTACACTTCATGGAGTTGGTCTTTCTTCTGAAACCAATTGGATTGAATCTGCAATGTGAGAAGTGTACTTTCATCTACATGTGCAATTTACAAGTTTAAAAACGGCCAAAAAGCATCATCATTCAGGGATAATCCAGAGGATAATTACATCGAACGAGTTGTGAAATGAAAATCTTAAAATGGGTGTTTGGTACATTTATAATTACAAATTGAATGTTGGAGTTCACTGTATAGGCTTGACCTTATTCAGAATTTGCACCTAGAAGAAAATTGCAAAAGAATTATCTGGCTTTTTGACAAGCTGGTGATATTAATGCAAATTGATGCTACATGTATGAGTTTCCTAATGAGTGATTTTCACAGGATCTGGGCAGCAAACAAATGTACGATACCGGCTGTGCACTCAGCAGTCTGTCATGTTTCTTGACCTCCGAAATGGCCAGTGACCTGGCCAATGACATTATGGGGCTGGTAAGTTCAGAGGTCAAAAGGTCACAGTTCAGGACCTGTTGGTTTGTACACGTACATGTAGATTATTTGAGACTTTTTCCCTGTTCCTCCCATCCCTTGGCAAATTGTTGTACACCATGTGAAAACGCTAACCTGTAGGCCACTGTGTCTTCGGTAGAGTTGTTTGAGGTGTGAGGAATGGAACTACTAAATCAGAACCAAAATCGCAATTTTATATATTTGTTACTTTGCTTGATACCAGTTATATTTTATATTTGAACCGATTCATTCCTGTTTTTACTGGTTTGCAACGTTAGGTCAAAACAAAGCACTGTCATTGCTCAAGTCTTGGCTTTGTAATTTCTGCAATACATTAAGACCACAAGACAAGTTGCAATATTTTGTAAGAAGTCTTTATTTTGATATATGATTAGATTTAATTGGTTCCATTCCGACACGTCAAACCATCATTCCTTTCAGCACTTTCATTGGTAGTCACTCTGTCATACCGTGTTTAATTCTGGCTATGTAGCTCTCGTACACGTATCTTTCAGTAGCCTTTTTTCCCGTTTTTCTTTTGTTTTGGTTTTGATCTCTCCAACTTCATGGTCACGTTACCCCCTGCTCCCCTCTGCCTTCAACACTGGTCCCACCAACCAATCGACTGCCTGACTGCCCCACGCAACTTCACCGTCCACCTGCCGTTGACACCTGCTTCATCCTGATGGTTCTAACGTGACCATCTGGGTGTATTCTGGGGGGTTATGATCCTGAGTAGGATATTAACAGTACGAACCAGTACGATGCTAGCGTGGCCATGAACGGTCTTGCATGTTTCACATCCCCTGACCTGGCCAGAGATTTGGCTAACGATCTCATGAGTTTGGTAAGTCCAGTGTTTGTTCCATTTGTTGATTTTTATTTGGTTCTTGTTTTGGTGTTTTTCACAATCAAATGTGATTTCATGGCTTTGCTTGCCATAGATGACGTATCTATGCTTACAGTCTGTTCAGTGTATTGGCTGTGATTGATACTGCATGACCTAACAGTTAGCACAAAGCGTAGAATCAAATAATTCGCTAGCTTGTTAAAACCATAACAAAGTTAAGTCTTGCTTGCAAACACTATTCAATTGAAACTGTCCTTGTGGCAGTGTGTGCCATTGGTTGAACCAATGTTTGTGTGGGTAGATGAGTCCATACAGAAACAAAAGTGTGTCGCAAAACTAAACTCGCGATGAAACAGGGAAACCAGATTTTCAGGACCACATTTTGTGACAGCAAAGCTATGAAATCAGGTCCGGATAGTGTCGGTTTTCAGGTTCTTTGATAAATGTATTCATTGATTTGTTTCATTTAATTTGGTCACTTCTTTTGTGTATCATTCTGGGTTGTTCTTGATGCTTCGAATCAGGTATTGGATTCAGATAATGAAGAAAAAAAAGAGCTAGAAAAAAAAAACACACACAAAATAAAATACAAAATTTCACTTAAGTGACAAATTGATGACCAGGAGACTTAATCCCAACCAAGTAACGTGGTTGACTAGCTCTGGGCTGACTAACTCTTAGCTAGTCAGTGTGCTAAAATGAAACATTCTAAATTGCAAAGGGCTGAATGATTTTCATACAATTGTAAAGATCATATAGCTGGATGTCCTGTTTCTTAGTTTCAAGACAACTCTTGGTTTTAACAGTCTTTGCTTTGATTTGTATTTTTTGTATAGTTGTCTTAACCCACACCAGTCAAACCATTTTAGTTTATTTTTGTTTGTGTGCTTTGTTTGATACTGTGCTACATCTGTTAAAGTTATCAAGCATTTAAAGATGAAGAACAAAGAACCATAGAACAAAGAAAAAAGAAAGGTTTCAGAATTGTTTGATATTTATGTTAAAAAAAATGCTTTTCTTCAAATTCTCCAAAGTCTGTGAAAATGTATCTGGTCAATATTCCTGGTGTAAGTTAATGAATATAAACATCAATAGGAATCAATGGAAATGTACCTACATGTAGACTTTTCTTTATGAACTGGTATTGAATGCTGCTTCCCACTTTATTTCCTTTTAGATGGCTTCCACAAAACCCTACATCAGGAAAAAGGCAGTGCTTCTAATGTACAAAATCTTCCTCAAGGTAAGGAAAGATTTCTGTCTGTCAAAAGAACTACCATTTCCCAGTGTCAATTGCAGAAATGTGCTGGAGAACTGGTTATATCAGGGATGAATCAGCATTAAGTCTTTGTACTCTCTTGAAATCAGAAGGCATCATAGTAATGCCCCACACCTAGCACAACTTCCTAAAACATGGGTATTAGTATAATTGCCAACAGCCCCCTCCAGACACTTTATATCACCGTTTCTATCATTGTGTTAGACTATGTTTCTGTGACTTGTGTTGTTATTGTTGTTGTCATTCACAGTTCCCAGAAGCACTGAGGCCAGCCTTCCCACGATTAAAGGACAAACTGGAAGATCCAGATCCAGGTGAGATCGCTGATCATCAAAATGGCATTGGCACTGAACATTGTTCATGTTGTCTCAACTTGAATGTTGGTATTCATCTTGAGGAAATAATTACAGATATTGTGGCAATTATTAAAATTAGGGTTTTGGATTACTCGGCAGGTGTTCAGTCAGCGGCTGTCAATGTCATATGTGAATTGGCTCGTAAGAATCCCAAGAACTATTTGTCATTGGCACCGCTATTCTTCAAGCTGATGACCAGCTCTACCAACAACTGGATGTTGATCAAGATCATTAAACTGGTGAGTGTAGATGAGAAGAATGGTACAGTATTGTGGTCGAGGTTAGTCACAAGACCAGTCACATGTCTGGTGACGAGGCAATCAGAAGTCAATTCCTAAGAAAGGAATGTCTTTGTCACAATTTATTTGATTGACTTGTGACTTGACACAGGACTGGATGACTTGTGATGGACGTGTGTACAACACCACAATGACATTGCCATTTTAAGAGTGAATTTTGGAGTATTTTGCTTCAGGAATTGTAGTATGCTAATGCTGTTGAACTTGCGTTTGTGTCTAGTTTGGAGCTTTGACACCGCTGGAGCCAAGACTAGGCAAGAAATTATTGGAACCTCTGACAAATCTCATTCACAGGTAAATCATCCACAGAGTCTTTATCCGCTTAGCTTCTTTATATGCTAAACATATTTTAATGATAACTGTGAAATACAAGGATTGATGTAAAAAATAAAGGTAAAGTGGGCAGTTGCTTTGTGGAAAAATTGCAGCATTTGAGTCTAGAAAATTGTTTAGCAAGACCAGAATAATAGCTTAGGGCTGGAAGCAGTATGCATTACATCTTTTACATATTATTCACCAGAGTTTGTTGAAGAATAGTTTCGAATGGGAGATTATAATGAAAAGATCGTGTTTGTCATGTTTTCTTGACAGTACATCGGCTATGTCGCTGCTCTATGAATGTATCAACACTGTCATCTCCGGTGAGTCATACAAATTCCTTCTTTCTGAAATGTCTCTGATTAGTTTACACATTGACTATGAAAGATGGAGAGAAGTATGAGATGAACAAAAGGTCTTGAACCATCCAGAAATGTACAAAGCATGATAAAAGATTTCTCTTTTGAATCAGTTTTCATGTGATGTTGTGCCAACCAACTTAGATTTTATGTCCCACGTCAAGGATGTCAGCTAATATTTTGACTCGCCCCCCCAAAAAACAAAGAAGAAGAAATGATATGCAAAAGATACATTAAGAAAAGGGCCATTCAGGAAAGACAACGTCTCTCCCCACAGCGTGGGAAAAATGGACGTTAATGGAAATGATGATGATGATGACAGCGTCCAGTCTGTTTTTCTTTAATGAAAAATATTGGAGTGTGTTGTTCATTTTATTTGTAACTTACAGATGGCTTTGATAATTGTCCTTCTATAATCCAAAATGTATAAATTTCAGAAATGTTATTTAACACCATCAAACTTGATGTTGCAGTTGCTGATTTGGGAACATTACAAACCTAACATGTTTCTGCTTTTAGATGTATCTCAGAGAATAGTTACGAGTTGCATGGTTAGAGTTGAGGCATTTTTGTTTACTGTACTTGTGTCGTTCTATGTAGAACTCTAGTAGATTATCAGTGTTCTCATCAGGCTGGTATATAACACCTGCCTTCCTGCCATCTGTTATCGGCATGCACCTGTTTCAACACTTGTAATTAGAGTTATTATTTCAGTGTCATGTCCAGATCTTTGAACATGCTCCTCAAACTGAGCAATAGATGTGCACATGTTGAGCATCAGGGTATATAGCTCAGTGTAATACCTGGGTAGTGCATGTATATAAACACTTGTTTTAAGCAGTAATGCTACAGCTGTTGTGATTGTGCATGTGCATGACATGCTGCTGCTAACATGTTGTGCCTGGTCTCTACGCTGTAAGAAGGCTTGTAGAGAGCACCAGGCTATCAAGCTTGTGCATGCTTTTGTGGTTTGAAATAATAGTGACATTATTTCTAGATGTAGTAGTTTACATACAGAAGCTGCAAGATATAGACTGGTAGCATTGCCACTACTAGAGGGCAGATCAGATAGTGGTCTTGTATCCCACCTCCCATACCCTTCTCCCCATTGCTTCCTTGCCCTTCATCATCAGGCTAATGGGAACACTGACTTATGTTGGGAAGGTATCAGTCCAAACTCAGAAATCGTGGGTCTCCATTTAACCATGCAACTGAACGCTGCTCTTTTTTTTTCTTCTCTCTTTTCCCCCGTTTCTCTCCCGTTTGTCTATTATTTGTTTTTGTTTTTCCCTCTTTTTTTGTAACTTACAGTTTTGATTTCGTTATCTTCAGGAATGCCCGACCACTCCGCGTCAATACAGGTATATACACACATTCTGACATTGACTTGCTGAACTTTGACCCCTGACCTCCCCTGCTGCTTGAAGCGACCTTGGGAGCCTGTGGGATTGTTTTGTGGGTTGAATTGGTTTTGTTTCTGGTTTGTGGTGAGGTTTCTCCATTTGCATTTGCACGCATTTTAATATGTTCATTTGAAAGTTGATATTAACACAATCTAAAGAGCAGAAAACTAGAATTCCCTGCAGTACAATGACAGCTTTGTTTTGTACGACCTGAACAGCGTGCCACTTTTTGATAGCTTTTCGTGATTTATTGTCTGATGCGCATGAGTCAATACCTCATGAAACAGACTTTGTTTCTAATATGGCAGAATCCGGCAATGCTCACATGAATGCTGCACGCATTCTTAAAGACAAGACGCTTATTGGTCTTAGGAGCCAGGAGAGCGTACGTGTTACCTGACCGCGACGTGCGAGTCTGATGCCGCCTCAGAACATGGCTGTCACCGGATTAGTATTTCTTCATGTAGATGTGCATGTCAAAATTAAGATGGCTGCCTTGTGCTTGCTGGGAATTGGGCAAAGAATGCATGTCTGGCTTTACAGAAATATGTGCAGAAAAACATTGTTGAGAAATTGCGAAGCAGAAGTTTGTCAAGCAGGTATAGATGATGCAAATAATTAACTTTTGATGAAGAAACAAAATGGAGAATTCGCAAACTGAAGACGAGTCAAGCAAGAGCAACATACTTTTAATTAGTGTTGATATATTTTCTCCTTTACAAGTTTCTGCGAAGCAATTTTTTTTAACAGAACAACCATAGTTAGCAAATTTCTGCTTTATCAGCAGGTTTCTGAAAAAGCCTTGAAAGGTTACATGTCATAAAGGGCATGAATTTTTTTAACCGATAAAGATGGAGTTACATTACTTCAGCCCATGCTGCTAAATTTGAAATTGCAAAACCCTTTTAGTAAGCCCTTTATTGACAAGTAACCTAAAACTCGTTATTCCAATTCATCACCATGTCTAACAACATCACCCACCATAAATCATTTTGTAGCTGTTGTTGTTTTGATGTCATCGTTTGCTCATCAGTCATGGTTGTAAGTATTACTGACCCCAACAAGCAGCAAATAAGAGAGAAAGTAGGTCTTAGGATTCAAGAAAATAGTTTTGTTGGCGATGCTTTGTTTTGAGTAATGGAGCAGGACATTCAGAAATGTCTGCATATCCTGGAAGTGACTGCTTTGAACATTTGGAATAGATGAGAACTAGTTTCAGTTTGTTACTTTTGTAAGCATCCTTGATCTAATAATAAAAAACGCTACTACTTCACAATTCTGTAGTTTTTCATAATAACCCACTCACAAATAACTCGTATTTGCCATTTCTTTAAAGCTTACATTCTAACACTCTTGTAAAGTAACAATGCATTTAATTATTTGAATTAAAACAAAACTATGAGCTCTAAGAATGAACAAATGTCTTTCACAGTAAACAAAGATCTCATCTGCTGGTTTATATTGAAAAGAGTCTTAATATTCAATGATATTTTTTATTACATTTTATCGTAACCATGTCTATGCATTATTTATTTCCTTTCCCACAGCTCTGTGTTCAAAAGCTGTGCATTCTCATTGAAGATACGGACCAGAATTGTAAGTCCTTGAACTTTGAATTCTTGTCAATAATTAATCCTGTCTGCTGTTCAGTGTAGCTGAAATGAAACTACATCTAAATAAATCCAATTATATTAGCAGGTGGATTGAAAAAGAAAGTCTAGCTTGGGTTAGTTACGTAGACGTGTAGTTTACATTGTGCAAATACTACAGTGAGTTGTAAAGATAAGCTATTTCTTTTCCAGTTTTAGCTTGTGTCTGGTTTCTGTTCATATTTGATTTTGAATAATGAAATATTAACTGATATCAAGGTCTGTGCAGAGTTTAAGGGTATTTTGGGAATTTAATTTTTTTTTTGCTGTTTCCCAATCTTGATTGATTAAACCAAAGAGTCATGATAGTTTGTCCTTTTATGAATAATGGGTAAAGATAACAAAGTACTTGAAGGTAAAAATAATACAGCCAAGAACCTTACAAGAGATAACAAGTTAGGAAAGATTGATTTTTACTTGAAAGACCCCTAAATATTGAACAAAACACCACAAGGTTAAGATATATATTTTGAAAACCGTAAGATTTGATACATTTTTTGTTCAGCAATGGCTTATGAATTGTACAGTTTTGAATCAGTTTTTTAATCCCTCTAATCTATTTTTTCCCCCTCTCCAGTGAAGTACTTAGGCTTGCTGGCGATGGGCAAGATTCTTAAGACTCATCCCAAGTCAGTTCAGAGTCACAAGGATTTGATCTTAGACTGTCTCGATGACAAGGATGAGTCTATACGTCTCAGAGCCCTGGACCTACTCTATGGAATGGTAAGGGTTTTATTGGAGTAGTACTGTTATTCTTGCTCTCCTATGCTCTTCAACAAAATTTGTGGGTTTTTTTCTCACAACAGATTTTCATGTTTAATTTCAATCTTAAATTTTTTGAACATTTTATTGAACAAAATTTGTTTTGGAACATATTTTCAATTGGTATGTTTTATTTAATCTGAAACAGTGTTGAAATTTATTGAACTCATCTTTTTTTGAAGGAGTCAAATGTTGAAAACTTTAACCTTTTCAGGTCTCTAAGAAGAATCTGATGGAGATTGTCAAGAAGCTAATGATTCATGTTGATAGAGCGGAGGGTTCGCAGTATCGGGATGAACTGCTGGCTAAGATCATCCAGATTTGCAGTCAGAATAACTATCAGTACATCATCAACTTTGAATGGTAAGTTGTGTTGACACAATAAAAAAAGGTTACTATTTCAGCTCTTTGAAAATACTTGTAATTAATAGGATTTTTCCTTTTAGTTACACAGTGTAAAACTTATAACCTTCATGTGTTGGAGTGTTTCTGCTTTGAGATTGTTTCTTGAAATGATTCTGTCTGATTTGTAATTGATTGATAACAGGTACGTGAGTATTCTAGTCGAGCTGACTAAGATTGAAGGGACGAAGCATGGCCACCTGATTGCATCACAGATGCTGGATGTAGCCATCCGGGTCAAGGCTATACGAGCCTTTGCAGTCCAACAAATGGTAAGATTCATTATACTGTGACAGGTTTTTATTCCTCTGACAGTGAAGAATGTTTGGATGGGCTCCATTGACTCTCTGTAGAATGCAAGACTGAGTAAATTGACCCCAAACCAAGTTGTATTTCTGAAAAGATAAACTATAATGAGACCTTATATGGTTTGGAACTTCACTGAGGATATATAAAGAATACAAGAGGACTATTGAACCTTCAAATTGATCAGTAAATTTACACCTGTTTATAAAGGGCAGTTAATTACCTATAAACATAGATCCTTTGTCTGATAGCATTTACTTTTTACTTCTGGCAATGCAACTGGTATAGGTGATAAACAAATCTAACCAGTTGTACCAGCATTGATACCTCTGTTCTAAGATGATACCTCTGTTCTAAGATGATACCTCTGTTCTAAGAGGTCCCACGCTCTACGAATTTTGCAAATGATGTGTGTAAGCAGTTATGTTACTTATTACTTGAACCAAAAGAGGTTTTTTATTAAATGCTGTGTCAATTTTTAAGTGTCAAATTTGATCTTCACAGGCCAAGCTTCTTGAGAACACCAGTTTGCTAGTCGGTTCCGCAGCTCAACTCAACGGTATCTGTGAGGTGCTGTATGCTGCTGCTTGGATCGTTGGAGAATTCTCCGACTTTCTGCTGGAACCACGCTCAACGTTAGAAGCCATGTTGAGACAGAGGGTGACTAGCCTGCCAGGTCACATACAGGTCAGTTGCAATTTAGCTGTCTAATTTTTGATATTAAGTTTTGTCCTTCACCGACATATAAACACTGTGTACTCAGTAATTTACCTCCTGAGTGACAGTTGGAAAAAATCACTCGGGTGGGACTCGAACCCACGACCTCCTGCTTTCTAGTGCAGACGTCTTACCACTGGACCACCGAGCTTGCAGGATCGGTTGGCTGGTTCGAATCAGATGTAGCAGCGGGTACTGCAGTGAAACGATTACACAAAAACTAATTAAGATGTACCATTCCTTTGACCAGGTTTCGCTGATGATGACATGTTGCCTGGGCTTTGCCTTAAAACCAAGTTTCTAAATTAAAATAAGAACTTGAATTTCATGACTCATTGCAAAGATGCATGAATTTAAAAAAAAATAACAATAGAATCAGCTCTCCCCTTGGATCTCTAAGCAGTTAAATCTTTGCCTGGATAATAACTAAACCTAGATAAAAACCTCAAGGCAGTGCATTTTTTAATTTTTTGGTTGCAGAGCATTTATGTTCACAACATCATCAAGCTGTACAGTGCAATACTGATGAAACTTGAACCAGACGGAGAGAAAGAACAGATTACTGAAGTCACTCAACTCATCTCTGAGAAACTGCCGGTGTTTGCTGAGAGTGCCAACCTGGAAGTACAGGAGAGGGTAAGTGCAGTCCACCAAATTCAAATTTGTATTTGAGCCAGTCTGTAGTCACCAAGTCAGTCACAAGTCATCAAGGTACAAGCCACAAGCTTGTAGTTAAAATTGAGAACTTTCCAAGTGGTGCTGTAAAATAAATCAAATTAAAAGGCTCAAGAAATGAAAAGTGTCCAAGAACAATTTTCTACACAAAGGTTAGCATTCACCTGTTGGAATATGGTAAAAAGCAGCATCATTACTTAGTCAACACATCATTATATTGAATTGATAACAGGCCTGCTGCATTCTGCAAATGCTGAAGTACATTAACAAGCTGCAGGAGAAAGATGTGGGCGTGGCCGAGGAGGTTGCCGCCCTCTTTGCTGGAGAACTGAATCCTGTGGCTCCTAAAGCTCAGAAGAAGGTCCCTGTACCCGAGGGGTAAGTAGCTAGAGTGAAACTATGATGGAAAAAAAGGAAAAATAACACAAGCTTACTGTTACTTTCTTGAAAGAAATCTAATTCTATAGGTCTACCACCTGTAACAACCTGTCTGTTGAGGCCACTGTGAAATGCTCGATATTCTCAGCCTCTTTCTTCAAAAACCCATGAAATATTTAATGAAAACGAAGCAGTAATATTTGGGAATGTTCCTTTATTTCAGCTTGGATCTTGACAAGTGGATTAACGAGCCACCTTCAGAAAGTTCTGATGATGAAGTCACTATTGACACCATGTTTGTGCATGACGCTCACAGGTAAGACTGCTTTATACTTCACACACTCCGCTAGACATTCTCCTATGGGTTGAGAACTACATTCATAATAGTTTATAATTTGGTAGGAATTTCCATGCAAAAGAAATGCCAAATATTTGGGGATTGTCTTTGAAATTTGTTGACTACGGTTCATAGAAGTAAACCTATTGAGAACTAGGGGTGTGCATCAGAGCCTGGTACCCGAGTACCCAACCGCTGATGTCAGGAACCAGTTCCAGATTATGGGATCGGGTACCCCTAACCAACTTTACAAATTACTTAGTAACTTCTCAGACAAGAAAGTGTGGGGAATTTCCAAAATGAAAACCAGACTGCATGGAAAACCAAAACAAAGTTCACGTTTATGTGCATTTTAACGTGCGACAGATGACGTTTGCGAAAGTTGCGGTTTACACCGTAAAACTACCATACGAAGCCCTTCAGACAATTTCCGGGATTTGAATTTTTAGTGTGGGCTTCTTGTAGGGGTACCCAGTACCTGTACTACCCGTAAATGCACACCACTATTGAGAACCGTGGTGTTTAAGATATTCAGAGTTTGTTGAGCAGGCTGGAGCGTCTCCTAAAGCATGTTTCAAACTTTCATACTTGCATACATGCTGCTTGATACAGGGGAACATCATTAAGGTATGGAGATATTTGTCGTTCATGCATTGACCCTACAAACCTGGCTCTTTGATTCGGTGATATCCGGGGATTTCAACTCAATCTCCCCATGGCATTCTGATCCCAACCCTTATGTTGCACCTGAGGCTGTCTCACTCCCCAACCCAATTCAAAATTATTTCATCCTAAACCTTCCTTTCCTCCATGCATCCCAACTGGAAAAAGATAAAGTTGACTTAAGGAAAATTAATCTTCCCAGTGACAGCTTTTCCTGAACATGATCACTGTGACTGTCTGAAATGTAGACTGCTTATCGACTGGTTACATCTTATCAACAGAAGTTTTGTTTATTTTTCTTCATTTTCCCAGAGTGAGCCATAAGACAAAGTATGAGGAACCTAATGAGGATGAACTACGTCGACGTCGCGACGTACGACGTGAGGAACAAGCTAGTAACCCACACTACCTGAAGGATAGCCGCAAGAAGAAACTCAAAGATCTGGCTGCTGAGAATGACGTAACGGTTGACGGAATTCCTGTCGCTAAGATAGATCTCAATGTACCTCTCCATGTACCTGGTAAGAACTTGTCAAATGTATGCAAGGCAGCGGATTGTTTTGGGGATGGCAAAAAATATGTTAATGTATGTAGATTTCTCAATGTGCTTTGGACTGAGTTCGACTGAGCTGCCAGGGTCACTTGACCAAAAGTCTTGATTTGATCAGTCAGTGTGCACTGTTTGATGGACATGCAGGTCAATTAAGGGTCTGCGTAGCTAAAATTGTTATAGAAGAACAAAAGTATTAATAGATGAGTTAAATGTATTGCATTTTGTTCTTTAGCTCATATTCTTTAGCTCATTAAAAGTGGAACATTGCTGTGCATTGTCAGAGAAATGCCTAGTTGGGTATAGGCTGACATGCATTTGTTTTTCTTGATATAAACCATTTTACTAGTTGCTTTTTGTGAATCAGTGAGAGAGATTCTGATGTACAATTTAATTTTTTAAGATTTAGTTGATTTTTGCAGTTATTGACAGCACTTTTGCTAATGAATTTGTAGTACTTTCAAGGAACGTTATTAGTTTTGAATGTTATATCAAACAAAGAACGTGTCAAATTCCCCTATGCACTTGAATATGCATCATATACTAGTCATGAATATTCCAAATGGTGACAGTTTTCTTGATTGACATCACACATTGATACATTTGGCTTTTTCATCCTGCATCCTTTAAGTTTTTTTTTTACACTTTTTTTTGTCTGTGCATGCGTCTTGGATTCTCCTTAGGCGTGAAAAAAGATGATTCTCGTAAGACAAAGAGTTATCGCGATATTCCAGGTGATGAAAGAATATGAACATAAAAGCATGCCCCCTCGCCCCCAAAAACCCAAAGGTCATATTATCTTGCTACCCTTGCATGATCATGGTGGATGGAGTTTTTACTTTCTTCATCTTGACAAAACTGTTGGAAATGTTTCTTCTTTTCCAAATTCTTATGTGGAGGGCATAGTGCATTGTCTGACTGTAGTACATGTACACGTTGATTCAAGACCCATTTTCACAATTGATTGGGCACAACGTTTATACAGATTGGGATTTTTTAATGATCGATCTTTGCCCCTAACCCTCACAAATTTGTCAGAATCCTCTATGATTTTTGAAAGAGTTTTCAGGCTTCTGAAGGCATAGCTAAGCTGCTCTTTCTTCACGGGCTGATTTATCCTTATGAGGAAGTCATGAATTGTAAACTTTTAGCCAAACAAAAAGTTCCCAAAACTTCCAACAGTTTTGTGTTTGCTTGGTATCCATGCTTGTACATGTTGCATCATGTGCATGTATGTGTACATCACAATTTTTTTTTCAGAATTCCTTTTGAATAGGTTTTAAAATTTGATTTTCGATATTCTTAAGTACCACAGAAGTAAGGCAGTTCTAAACCAAACGTCAATGAAGGAACATCTTTTTAGATTATTGTGATCATTTTTTTTCATGTAAATGAGCATTGCATTGCAATCTATGTGTCATCTTTATACGCATTCCCATTGGTGATCGGTTTCTGATTGGTGCAGATTTCATGCCACATTGTCGTCCTCGTTTGTTGAGTATTTGTCCTCTGTGATGAGTCCAAATTTATTTTTGTAAAGAGTAACATAAGCTTTCTGTCGAAAAATGTTTGTATGTGGTACATGTGATTGACACTATTATGAAAGGGTCAAGTGTGTTAAAGTATGTGAAGGAAATTTGTTCTTTACTTATAGCAGGTTGTGATATTTTTTGTGCTTTTGTGAGAATTCAGTTGTGCTGTTGTGATGTGAACGTTCTTGTGTCTTGTAATGGAAAAGAGTTTAGTGAAATTTAACTCATCAAGGTTTGATTAGGTTTTGAGAATTAGGTGTTCAAGGTGTCCTTGTCATGTTGGACTCATCGTGTGAGTCCAACACTCACAGGATGTGGCACAAATGGGTCGTTTTATGTCCTTCCTTGAATTTGTGTCGGCATCCTTCATTCAGTGAATTAAAAGAGCTGTTGGACAAGAAAGAAACACTTTGAACGTCACTTAGTAAGTTCTGTAATGTTTTTGTTTTGCAGGTTTTAATGTGACCGATGAGTACATGAAGAAATCCAAGACATCTAAGAAACACAGGAAGAAACACAAGAAGGGCAAGAGAGGGCGCCATATATCTGAGTCCAGTGATGATATCAAGGTGGCTCATACGGTGGACATCGTGGGAGAAGAAATGCCTGAGGTAATGTTGTGGGATCACACAGGCTGGTCCATACTTAACGCCAATGCGAAGTGAATTTTATTTCATGAAACATTTGCTGCCAAATTTGCAGCCCGAGTTGAAATATATATTCAAATTGTGCACATTCACAGCACACATGCTTGAAGTGGCGTCACAAATTTGGGCTTTTGATCGCCTTCGTGTGGAGTGTGAACCGGCATTTAGAGAGGTTTCACATGCAAGCTGATACACATGTGCAAGAGTTTAGCTGTCTGTAACCCTGTGAGGTATTGTTTTACTGAGAGTATGCGCTCTCAGTCATCCACTTGGCTATCATGAAACCTGTACCGCTGGCAGTATTAACCCTCCTGCTGTCTGAACAGTCACAGACAGTCAAAAAATCTATCCTTTTCCCCTGCCATGCCTTTTACACAGGCTAGTCACCAACAGTCAAATCATATTTTAAGCAAGCACTGTGACTAGTCAAATTCAGTTTACAGACAAAAGCAGGCAAGTGGTAGGCACAGCTGGCTTATCAATCACCTACAGTTAAAGCATAGCTGCATCAAGTTACATAAACAGTCCCAGCCAGTCAATCCTGCTTTATGTAGGCTGGGAGCTCTTAACTGTTGAAAACAGTTACGTGATTGATTTTGACTGAAAGGACAGTTTTGCACAGAGTTTATGTTTGTATAGGAGGGTTAATCCAATATGACAGCAAATGTACATCGACTGAACATACAAGCATAAAGTAACACCTATCCAATTTTCAATATTAATCTGTAGCCATATTTGTTGTGTTATTCAAGTTTATTGACTGTCTTGTCTTCAGGGTGCAACATTTTCAGACGATGATGAGGATGACAGAGCTCTAGATGATCCCCACCGAGCGTTGGACATTGATCTGGATAGGTAAGATTTAAGCAATTAGCACCTGTACTAGATTGTATTACATTGTATTACATTGTGTTACATTGTATTACATTGTATTACATTGTATTACATTGTGTTTATTCATTGAAGAATAAATGAAGCCATAGAGTGCTTGGGCGGTTTTGGGCGCTACAGTGAGTAATAGGCTGGATAGTTTTAGGTGTTACAGTGACTTAAGGGTTAAATAACATTTATTTTTTTACTTTTGACATGAAATGTTGTGAACAACAGAATTTCAGCCAATCCCAGTGACACTAACACTTGATTTCACTGTAAAATATCCGGCAGGCTAATCTAGCAGTGTGGTAAGAAAATGATGAAGGTGATGGAACATCACAATTCTCAAGTGCAGTTAACTGGTGTTCTTAATTATGAAAGCTTAACCCTATTAAACCCTGCCATACACAACACAGTGCATCAGGTGGAAGAGTCTGGTGCACTTTGATACATTCAGCTATCAACAGCAGTGCATGAATGGCTGCTTCTGAGACATTGAGAGCTAGTCCCATAGCACAATGACACAGTTGTATCCTGCTGCGTTCGGTGACCACAGACTCTGAGGCAGTTTGGCCTTGAGACTTTTGAGCTGATGGATCTTGCTACACTGGGCAGGCTTGTCACTTGGACAAGTGTTGCATGTTGCTGCGTTTGGCAGGGTTTCTGGCCAAAATACCCTGGAGGGTTAGGGTTAAATGCATTTTTAGCACTTGTTCTTGTGATATAACCCCTTATGTTAATAACACATATGATGACATTCCCACCTAGTATGTCCATACTAGTCCTTTTTCTTGAGACAATTTGCTTTCTTAAGTAGTTATTGAAGATTTTTGCCAATTTAAATTTTGTCCTTAGGCCCTTGGATGACCATGACAAGATTCCCATCCGAGAACACCGTGTTGTTGCAGCGGGACTCAAGATGGAAACGGGCCAGGAAGCGACGGAAATCGCAGAGGGAGAGAAGCCCAAAAAGAAGCATCATCATCATCGGAAAGAGAAAGAACACAAGGAGAAGAAAAGCAAGAAAGATAAGAAGGTTGGTCAAGACGAAAGCAAGATTAAAGTCAAGGAGATCATTTCTCAGGATCTTAAGAAATGCTGATAGAATAGACACCAGTGATGCTTTCGCATTGATTCCCAGTCATACGCATAAATTTGTTGAACCCAATAGTTCGTGTACCGCCCCGAACTGCCCCACTCCAGCACTGTGTAGTTTGAAGGGTTTACCAGAGAATAAATACAATCTAATAATAATGTAAAACAAGAACTAATTGTCAAAAAATAAAAAATACTCATAAAATTGAGAACCATGTGATAATTCCTATATTTAGCACAAGAAGAAGTCTGCTGAGGCAGTGGAAGAAACCCCAGCAACTAATGAGGAGGCGGTTGATTTGATGCCTGGGATGGAGGAAGCAGAGCCTACAAGGACGAACGGTCAGATAACAGACGCAGTGACGCAGGCAAACACGGCTGGAGCAGAGGCTAAGCCAGAGGAACCCGCAAAGGTCAGTACCGAGGTCACGTCTGCAAATCCTTCAATAAAGATCATGTCACATACTATAATGCATTGCAAGGCCAATTCATGCCAACGTTCACTAGGAATAAATGAAAACTATCTTGTTTGTCCATGAAATATGGATGGATTTAAAATTTAAAAAAAAATATTGAGGTATCTGTGTACAATATAGAAAGCAAAAAGAAAGGTGATTGTGTGACTGTGTTGAGTGTCGGTAACCAACAGGCAAGTGGCAGGTGTCATGTTAAATAGTGTAAAAAAGCTATCAACGCTGGTATTGCCCCTTCATCAACGTAATTTTGTTGATCTTTTCTTATTAGGATGATTTGAGTTTCTGGCTTTCCAAGGCTTCAGATGAACCTAGCGTCGCAACGGTGGTTGAAGACGCTCCTGCAGATACCAGTGAACCTCCACCTGAGGAGGTGAGAACACTCCACCTTGCCATTGTTTACTAGATGGGTTGAAGAAGAGAGGAGGAAGGGGTGAGGGGAACATTTGGGCCCCCCCCCCCCTTCCTCAGTTGAACATTTGGAGTCTTCCAAAACACTTCATGTGTAAGATTTTGGCTTGTTGGGCCTAATTTAAATGAAAATGAATACATTATGAATTGAATTTGTTTTTGTTTTGTAGAAGCACAAGAAGCATCACAAGAAGGAGAAAAAAGCCAAGAAAGAGAAGAAAGAGAAGAAGAAACGATCGCATAAAGGTCACCATGGCGACGAAGAAAGACTTGAAGAAGAGGAGACGGGAAGGACGGAACAGATGGAGAATGGAACAGTGCAGGAGAGCGCACCAGAAGTAGTCATACCAGTTAGTAGTGTACTCTAGATAGGGCTGCGGCTATGGCTTGCAAATACACATACGTCTATGGGAAGTGGCTCAATCCACTTCCCATAGACACATGTGTTTTCACCAGCCATAGCCGGCCGAGTAATTCACATGCAGCCATAGTCTCAATTCAAAAATTACCAAATATAGTTTGTGCACTTGTGAAAGCTGCATCATTCTTAATGTCAGTGTTTATTTTTGGAAGATTTTTTTTTTGGGTAGTAGAGGTAAAAAAAAAAAAATCTTCAAAGAGTAAAAACAGTTGAGATAGTTTCAAAGCTTGTTGCAAAACTTTATTTGATTTCTTTTCATACTTTTTCATATGTTTCTTTTCAGCCAATGTCCAGTTACAGACTTTTAGCTGAGAATAATTCTATTAAAATGGTGAGTATCATTTAAAAAGGAACCGCTAAGTGCCCTTTCACAATTCTGACCCACCAACCAAATTAATTGCTGCTTTTTTGCTTGTAGTTTGTCAGTAATCTAAATGGTTAATTTTTTTTGTTTCGTTCATCAGATGTATGAAACAAGGGTAGAACTGAAAACCCAGAATCAGGTCGTCGTGTCGGTAATCTTCAGCAATCTCACTTCCTCTCATCTCAAGTCATTGGACTTCAACGTCTTAGACTCTCTCAACACCAGGCTAATACGAGTGGTGAGTCTCGAAGTTGTAATCAGAATGTGTGTGTAAAATATTAAATTCCAGCTTATATAATATCCAGAAGTATACATTGTACTTAGTTTTGAGGGTTTTGTATGGAGTGAGTGGGAAAAGTATAGCGAAAGTTAGAAGTGACAATAATGAATGAAAGTGATGACACCAAAAGATTTTTTTTTCTTGAAGCATTTTTTGAATCACTAGTCTTATTTGGGATCTTGCCGTGTAAGTCGGGGAATAATTAAGAAAAAGCCAAGAAAATGAATTCTTAAACTTATCTTGGATTAGAAGTCTCCTAATGGGTTTTGGCAAGTTTTGTTACTGTTAGTCTGGTTCTGATTTGACAGGATTTGACAAGTCAGCATGAAGGAGTCAAGGTACCATTCCAGTTGCCCCCTGGCATGACGAATGAGGGACAGTTTGCATTCACAGTCAAGAGTATTACCATGGCACAGAAGCTGCGTGGAACATTGACCTACATGCTCAAGGTGAGAGGCATCAAAATGTACACCGTTACAGACTGGTGTTCCCAGAGTGGCTCTGAATTATTCCAAAGATTGGAATTACGTGCTTGATAAGCAGTTGGAGCGACTACAAAACTTTGCTTGTCTAAAATGAAAATAGGTTTTGTTGACCAAGTTGCATCTTATACTAGTTAGTTTGGCCCGACTCTGGAATATCAGTCTGAAGAAGCCAGTTCGGTGTGTCGATGAAGTAGTCCAGGTCAAAGGTCATTTGGGGTAAAAATCGCTGACGCCATGTTTTACGCGATGTTACGCGAACGTCCACTCTACTCTGGTGCCTCTGTCTCCTTGGGCGTTCATGCGTCTTCAATGAGATTATCTCAAATGACCCATGACCCATATCATTGTGCGCATGCGCAGTTGAAATACCGAACTGGCTTATTGGATTTTTACTCACACAGCTTTTGGAAAGCACGCCCTCAACTTCATAGTCGCTCGTTCTAATCAGTATAAGCTGTAATACTCTCTTACTTTGTTATAATGAACCAATCTCTTGACATATTTGGTTTTGGGTCTTTACTCCTTCAGGATGATGCAGGTTCCACAAGTGAGAAGATTGACTTCAAAGTGCACCTTCCCGTGTCGGCTTACTTTGTGCCTAAGCAGTGTTCCAGGTAGGTTGAGACTTAAATAACCAAGATTTGTTTTCAAGCAAGATGACATTTGTTTTAATTGCCAGTTTAGGCTCAACTCGGAAAGTATATTACCCATAGACATTTCTTACAGACTCAATATTTGATAAGTCTCATTGAAATTTGTTACTACCACAAAAGCTACTCATCAACGTTGGAATCTAATGGTATATGTGAGACGCTTTGAGTTTGTTTCTCAATTGTTTAACTTCTTTCTTGAGAACTATTATTCAAAATGCAACTTAATAATATATATGAACTGATTTTGTGTCTCCATGACAGTGCTGAATATGCGGAGCTGTTGAGTGGAGGGGACTTGAGCAGCAAGCAGTCCATGACCATCCCCAATATTGAAATGGACTTTTCCATCGTCCTTGCCAGAGTACATTTCTTTGGGCACCTTTCACTTGTTGAGAGGGTAGACACGACAGCCTCTCTGTATGGTCAGTCAATACAGGGCCATCAAGTCTGTTTACTTCTTAAAGCATTGGTAAGTCAGCTCGGTTGCTCTGTAAACTTTTTCTTCCTCCATTCACATTTTGCTGACGTGTGTGGTAATTGAATATTGAATAATGATCACTGAATTATTGAAATGTAATGGTCTACTATTGATGATGGTAGTATGATTGATTATTGAATGTTTGATTATTGAGTATTACCGTGATTGAAGTACTATTGACTAAAGAAAACATTTATTTGAACATTAAATAAAATTATTCTTGCTCATTGGGTGTTTTTTTTTTAAATTAAGAAATTTCTACAAGTTGTAATTAAAAAAAAATCTCATTTCTTTCAGCTTGGTTTTCTCTTTATCAGTTGACATTACCGGGTTGTAGAAATCAAGTTATTGAATGAGACTTCAGGGTTTGCTTGGTGGACATGATCAATGAATGGGAGGTTTGTGATAACACCATGTGAATGATTTCTCTCTGAGAGTTGTGTGGTTCTGAAACCAACTGGTTCTTCTCAGAACCACACAACTCACAAGGAGATATCATTCACATGGTGTTATCGCAAACCTTCCATTCATTAAGGTCATTGAAAGGAAAAATTGTATATCTGTAGACAATTTGGAATCTTTTCATTTAAATGAGTTCTCTTTGTTTATTGTTGTCCAGCCAAACAAGAGCATCTCTGTGGATGGGAAGAGCTCTGATTCCAGTCTCCTATCCTCACTTCTTGATGACGTCAAGACATTCCTGACTGAAGCGTAAAATTCTATCCATATAATTATTCCATAAGGCTGGTTCAGACTTCATGCAAATTCGAATGCTCAGTGAATTTGATGTCATAAAACATTCACTGCAAAATACCTGTGTTGAAAGATGATTAATTTTTGTGAATTTATAAAAACCTTTCCTAACGTCACACATTTGCATTCTTGTTTGCTATCAGAGTATGAACGAGCCTTCACATGGTAAAACAAACCATGCTTATTAATGCGACACTGAACCTAATCATGTAACACTTCCCTTAACCTTAGTACTGTGACTTGTTTTAAACAAACATATCTTGTGTTATAGGAATGCGAAATGAATCATTTGTTGCAAATGTTGACTTTGATCTGTAAGCCATATGCATAGCAGCCATCTTAGTAGGCGGTTGTTTTGTTCCTTGTGATAGGCATGAATACGCCTGTGTTGTTCATGCATTGTTACTAATTTGAATGTACAAAAATGCCCTCTAAGGTTGCCGTTATGGATAAGGCTTATATTAGCAGTTGATGTCAGAAAAAAAAAGAAGAAAGAAAAAAAAGAATCATTTTATATTTGTCGGATTAGATGAAATCTCTGTGCTGTCAAACCAGTCACCTTTCCGTTTACAAAGAAATAACAAATCTGGTTATGAGGCAAAAACGCCCGTTGCAGACCAGCGTTCCTGAGGGAGCTGAACCAAATAATTCCTGACAATCCAAAGAAGTTCAAATTTGGTAACAATTAAAAGCGAATACACACCCATTGTTGAATTATCGACTGTTGGTGTTGTTCGGAAAATTAACACATACAGTTCACTTGTCTGAAAGCAAACTTTAGACTGACTGTAGAGGCTTCAAATGCTCTTTGGTTCGGTGCGTCTCTGGAACGCTAGTCTGTAACAGGTGTAATGGAACAAATTGTGTTAATTTTTAAAGAAAAAAATGAATGTAAGGTCTGGTTTGGCTCCAGAGCTGCAGTATATCAATGTTAATAGATATATTATATATATGTGTATAAACAACATAGTAATTCCAAAGACATTTTTTTGATATTAAGATGTAGAAATTATGAAAACAGCAGCGGGTTATGTAATGGTTCTTGAGGATGGGAAAAAAACTGGAAACTATTGGAGGAGGGTTTTGGGTTTGGAGACGTGGGTTTTTTGAGGTGGTTAGCGGTTCAGGCTGGAGACGGAGGCTAGACATTGACACAGCTTAGATTGACAACAGAACGGTATCATTAGGTAGATACAGCCACACACGGAGCTTATACTCTCATTAGTTGCCTTTGTATTCCAAGAGTTAATGAATAACTGCTGGGTATGAGGTCTCACACCATCAAGTACCAGACTTCACACCTTCTCATGGAGTTTAACACAAAGACAGCTTCATTGAAATGGAGCAAATTTAATGAGTTCATCAGCAACCATAGCTTCTTGGTATCATAACCTAATGAATAGCCATCTCGTTAGTAGATTGCGTACCGTTATTTGGCTGGATAAGAAAATGCACAAACTGGATGCGGAAAACATTGGGTAGAAAAAGTGGGTACAATTTGGAAAGTTCTACATCTGCACTAATGGGACAAACAGTCTGGACAGTTTACTAATAATAACCATTCCTATCAGTTTTATTTGGCTAAACATGACAATTTTGTGTGATAAAATGATGGTATTTGCAAACAACAATTGCAAACAAGTTGAGAAGTGTGTTTATGTTGCTAGAAAGATATCAGGGAATTTGTATTTTTGGTCAGATCAAGCCTGGAAAAGTTCCTGAAAACCGCAGAATTTTCCGGGGGGGGGGGGGGGGGTCGAAGGATAAAAGTGGAACATCTATTAGTCTCACAGCTAGAATAAATATGTCTTTAAATAAATTTGAGTATTTTATGCCGGGTTAGGAACAAGCAATGAAATATGGAAAAGAAATTTCATCTCGAACTGGCTTTTGAAATATTGCTTGATATTAAGTTAGTCTCTGGGAAAATTCTTGCATTTGTTGTCAGGAAAAAATTAAGTTTCTTGTCAATATTCATTTCATTACTAACTTTTTTCCGTGTATTATTCCATATAAAATAAATTGAATGAATATGCTGATCTACTTGATGTTGTAGATATTTCCTGTAGAATACCAGCCGTAACATTATTATGCTTGCAATCCCCTGACCATAATGTGCTTGATTATTGTCATGTGATCAATCCTTGTTACATATACATTTGCCAATAGGATGTTATCAAGAGATAATTGTATTGTGGACAATACTGTGTTTAGTTTTTCATTCAGGCTTTCGTTTCAATCTGTGGACAATTCTTAAGTTGATTCCTATTATGCACGTTATAGCTGTACCTGTCCCATCTACATGTGGTCTGCCCTAATAGCTTTTAGGCTGAAACCTGTCCAGTGCAGAGTACTTAACAATTGAGTTTCGGAACAACAAAAAAGTATTAAAGCAAGCTTGGAAACGAGGATTTAATGCATTATAACTTCTGTTTTGATGGAAATCCTATTAACTGAAATCCAGGGGTCACGAACACTGATCAACGGGATTGCACGGAAGCGGGGAAAACAAGATAAAATGCAAACGAGGGGAAGGAACGAGGAATCGAAATTGTGGCCAAGATTTGACATGGTTTGATCTTTTCAATACTTTCCAGAGCTTTCAAGATAATAACGTATCAGTATCAGTTTGACTTGGACAAAACCAAACAACTTCCAATCCTATTCTTGACTAAGATTTTTGTCTGTTTGCCATTTTGTTTTCTATCAAACAGTAATTGAACCACAGAACCAACCGTCCCTCGCTAATGATTTTACATGTAGATTTTTGTGACGTTATAAAGTGTAATTAAGAAAAAACAGACGCAGCTTGTTGGTGTTATGTAGCAAAGCATTTATCCAAAAATAATAAATGTATCTTACCTGCGTACTCATTGTGAAATAATTCAAAGTAGCATTAGTTTACGATAATTTAGAATGCTGGAGCTACGTTGTTTTAAGGATAATCCTAGGGTACTACGTGTACATGAAAATGGAAGAGACAATCTGTTCATTTTTTTGTTGAATAAACAGGAAACAAATGAAGGAAAACACCTAAATTATTAAATTATTAAATCCATTGGTGCAATAACTAGTACCAGTGAATGCAATGATGGCATATTGTTTTAATATCGAGTACTGTATGAACTGTGATCATCGTGAACGTGTATGATATATCCATACTGGCGTATTAACTGTTCTGTTTTTTTTCCGATAAAGGGAAATAAATAAAAAGGCCATCAGTATTACTGATAATGTGTTGTCTTATTTTCCTGGTATCAGACAGGGCCAGCCTATAGTCATCTTTGCATACGACTGACTGTCCGACTGACTCTACTGTCTCTTGTAACTTAGCCAGGTTGTTGGCTGGTGATGAGAGCCGGGCAGTGCTATTGTATAGGATTACCCGGTAATTGCCTAAATTCACCCCATTATTACTCCAGATACATGAATTTAACAACTTCCAGTGAATTAAATTTTGGTGATCTGGGACATTAGGCTAGCCGGACTGCCTCTGGCCGTACAGAGCTTGCGATAGTACTGTACGGCCAGAGGAAGTCGGTTATATTAGGCTTGCCCCTTCCAGTTATGTTTTGTCATATGTGCAAAATTCTTAGAAGCTGATAGAATCCCTCTAGAGAATCACACTTGCTCGCATCGCACTAAAGACATCGTTTGGTTCAAAGAATTAGCCTATAAAATATGTTTTTCTTGTGAAAAAAATGACCGTTTTGGGGGGAAAACTTGAGGATACGCACTGCTTACTTTTAGTTTCAAAGCCAAGAAATGTGTCCTTTAATTCTAAAGGATGTATGAATCCTAATTCGTTTATCTTTTACTACGCCCCTTCACGAGTCCCGCCCTGTCTGACAGGTGCTGGCCCTTCCCGCTTGTTCTGCCCCGCCCCCCTCTCGATCTCGTACTTTAACAGACTGGCCCCCGTCCCTATGCCTAGGCGCGCGAGGGCCAGGGCCAGGGACTAGTCTGCCTGATCGCGTCGTATCCGCGCGCCTGCATAGTTTGTCGACTGCCTGGCCGGAATTGAAATTTCCTGTTTAATACGATGAATGTTTTAAATGAGGTAATTATGGTTTTACTTTAATTACTCATATTTGGTTCTATTCCTGAACTTGAACAGACTTCCAAGTCTTCGCGTTGAACATGTGTTGAATGACACTTTTCTTACATAGTTATTTAAGGTTTGATGCATCTAATTCGTGATAAAATACTTGCCGGGCAAGTCGAGGTCTAGCCCGACTGCGTCTGGCCGTACAGTACTATCGCAAGCTCTGTAGTACGATAGTACTGTACGGCCAGACGCAGTCGGGCTAGTCGAGGTCGAATCTTCTAAATGTGACAACAGTCATGACAGTGACATGCCAAGCATGTAATAACCGTGGGCCTATCTATTTTTTTTCTAAGCAGAGATATAGATACACCCGTTCTGCTTTTTTTAATATGACTTTTTCAACTGTAAAATATGCAGATAAGAAGAGTCATGCAAATGCCACCTTCATGACCTTCAAGTTTCATTACTTTCAACCTTGTGCAGTCAGTTTTTTGTGTGTTTTTTTACTTTTTAGTTTTTATGTTTCCAAGTGAAAACATGAAATCAGTTTCTGATATCACATTGCCTTCTCTCTGACCACAAAAATGTTGCAAAAATGTTGCAACCTGACGCCACTTAGTGGTTGTGTACAAAGTCTATGGAGAGTCAAGAAACTTTTTTAAGTATTTCCTAACAAACTTGGAAATGTTTCTCAGTCCCAGATTCATGTCTTATCATTTTTGCAATGACTGACCTTCATTGAGATGATATATGAAGTAAAAAATGGCGTCAGGTTGCAACATTTTTTCCGATACTCTTTACGGTAATTGTGTAGTTTAGGAGTTAGGACCCCATTCCATTTAAGAGAATGAACAGACACTTTCATGTTTTGGGACTTAGGCATTATATCTAAACATTTGGCTATGATATGCTGGGCCTAAACTCAAGCACAAAGCAGGAAAAGTCACGTTATCATGTTTATCATGTTTATTGTTTATGTGGTTGGAATCATCTCAATAATTCGCTAAGATACCATGTTGAATATCATCTACCTTAATTTTGCATAAAGAGGGCAGGCTTTTGATTTATGAATGGAAGTTGTCAAACATACGAGGTGTCCTAAACTATACCATTATCAATATTGTAGAGTACCCTTTGTACATTTCCAGTGATGAGAAGAGATGGACTTGATTGATGACGATGGTGAAGACGTTGAAGCCACGTTGGAGAGACTCCAGAGGGAATTGCATGAAGATGTGGCTGAGATTTCTTGTGCAGATAAACCCAGTTACTCCTATGGATGTGCAAGGACCAGCGGAGTAGCCGTAGCCATGAAGCCTCTCCCTAAGAAACAAAAACGGCTCAGCAGGTCTGTCCTGAAAATTAAAGGTAAGCTCAGAAGCTTCCTTCAATGCCCCCTAATTTTCTTTTCAAATGTCAACCCCAACAAGAACTTGCCCAGGTGAATCCTCGGAAAGAATGTAGTATCCTGACGCCACTTCTTTGGTTGTGTACAAAGTCTATAGAGATTCGAGTTTGTATAAATAAGATGCCATGTTGTGTTGCTACTTCCTGCAAAATTCTCTTCACCTCCTGATAGTTTTCTTTAGTAATCTGAGAGAGGTTTAATAAACTCGATGTTGTCATATTGGTTGGAAGCCATGTATGGGACTTAGTGAGTGCTTGTGTCCTTAAGCAAGCTATTTTACTGCAACTGATTACAGCTCTCTTGCCTCTTTGTCCACAGTGGTCTCATTATTTTTTCTTTTCTTTTGTTTTTAAGTTGTGCCCCGCATACCAAGCCAAAAGTGTTCAAACTCCCAAACTGCTTCACATTCCAAGAATGGGTATAAGCAAGAGCAGTCAAGCCGCACCAAAAGAAAAGTCAGTACTGATTTAAATGGAACAAAACCCACAAAGTCAGCCCAAAACTCTAAGGAGGAATGCAGAACAAAATCAGGTCATAAAAAGAAGGGAGCTTTACGTCGAGGGACTGGGAGTTACCCTTGTAGGGAATGTGGGCAAGTTTTCAGTTTCAAAACCAACCTACGGCGACATGAAGAGTGTCATTTCGCTTCAGCTACCGATTTCATGTGTGACCAGTGTGGGAAGACGTTTTCGCTGAAGCGGAATCTGGCTAGACATGTGAAACTTCACACTATTGATCGCAGTCATCGACCGTTCACTTGTGACAAGTGCAACAAGTCATTCCAGCAAGCTAAAACATTGTACCAACACAAGAAAATCATCCACAGCAACATACGCCCACATGCTTGCCAGTTTTGTGTCAAGACGTTCAAAACGTTTTTCAACCTACAGAGCCACGAGGCTATACACCTCAACTGTAGGCCCTATGTGTGTCAGTTTTGTGGGATGTCCTTTATACGGAGTTCTTATCGAACAATTCATGAGAGAATTCATACAAATGAGCGGCCTTTTAAGTGTGATGTGTGTGACAAGTCATTTACTCGTGGAGATCATTTGAAAAATCATAAAAAAGTTCATTTGCAAAGTAACAGTAAATCAAAAAAATCCAAGCGTTCGAAATGAGAATGACTAAATTTTCAGAGTAAGATCAGTATTTTAGAGTAACATGTTCTCATGGTAAAGACATTTTTTTCAGGATTCCAGCTTGTCCAAGATATCTTACATTTATGTAAAATATAGCATTATTCTCTCTTTGTTCATGCCAAATTTATTTCTAACAAGTTTTGTTTAAAAATTATAAGTATTAGGCCTATAGAAACAAAATAGGTCCACAGAAATGTTAATGACAGAAAGACCTTTCAATGTGCCTTTTTTTTCTGCATTATATTGTACTAGTGCAGTGCCCGTCTAAAATGTGCATGTTCAGGAAGGGCAAATTGCTTGGCCGCTGGTATTGGTTGCTTTTTGCAGCATTTTTGAGAACTTCTTGTGCAAACAATGCACGCGATTCAATGGTGTTGTTTTTACAGGTTGAACCCACACGTACACTCACATGTTGAACGCACATTTTTTAATGTGGACGGAATTATAGTAAGAAATGTAGAAAAAACTGTGCTATTATTTATCCCATTATTGGTAATGGAATAGCCCCCCCCCCCCCCAGTGAAGTACCCATTGTTGATAGTGGAATAGCCCCCAGTGAAGGTCAGCTAGCGCTTTGCACACGTACACGCGTGCAGTGTTAATTGTGTCATCACACAATATTGTATAAGTGTAGTATTTTTTACTATTACAATGTTATGAGCATTTGTGGTCATGAAAAATTAGTGTGCTACTCGTGAATATTTAAACTAAATGTATTTTTTTTTACTTTGAAACTTTAGAATTTGAAATACTGAACGTTAAGGTCGTTAGCATTGGAAGTGCCTTTATACCATGACATAGTTTTATAGCAAACAATTTTATCGCAATTCTTATAAAAAATTTACTGTATCGGTTGGTGTACATGTAAATAATGAATACACTGAAATAAATATCGATGTAGGACTTTGGTTGTTTTTGGTTTGTTTTCTGACAACAATATGAAAATACAAATAAAAAATAAAGTCTTTTCCGACAATGTACATTTACTTCAGTTGCATACTTTAATAGTCCTTGCTTTATTTGGTGTTTTTGTTTAAGTCAAATCAATAGCGATCTTTGAGCATGAAGAACAAAATTAGCCGAAAGTACCAATAGGCCCTACAAGTCTGAAATTTGTCCCCAAAAGCCAAACATTTACGTTCTCAGTACATTATGATTTGTAGAGTCCATGATGCATGTTTTGCATATGTCGCATGGTTTGATAGGTCACGCGTTAGTGACTTATTTCGAGACAACTTATGACAAATCCTGTCTGTTTTAGCTTGTTTTTATTTTTTAGTTAGCAATGGATTTATGCTAGTATCACATTATAATTGCGGAGGCCTTGAGATCTGGCTGATTCGAGCAAGGAACACATCTTTTTCCCCGCCGGATTTGAGAAACGCAATCACGGGCTAATTATGTGAAAGCTTACGCCAACAGGTGGCATGGAATTAGATGTTTATCGCCCCCTGTATTCCCAAGTTCCAATGTTTTGCATCATCAAATCCTCGCGGAATTGCTACGTAAATTGGATACAACTGTAGCCAGCTGGTGTTTACAACAAGCTTCGTATACGTAATACCTGACGTCCATAATGGGAGCTTATTACCGATATATACCGCCGGAGAAAACGTATAACGTGGATTTTACCTTG